ATGTGTGGGAACAGTCCTTGGAGTTTTCTGAAAGACTTCCTACTGGGTTATAATCTTCACTTGGCTCAAATAAAAGTTTCTATTTGGGGACTTTCCTGGCAGGCCAGTGGTTAGGACTCTGCATTTCCACTACACGGGGCAGAGGTTTGATTCCTGGTTGGGGAACTAAGATCCCACATGCTATGCAGTCAAAAAAAAAAATTCTCTATCTCTTCTCTATATGCTATGGTTTTGACCAGGCACCCACCCTCCTGCATGGCTGTCAGGTATCTTGGGGAAGAGAATGTGGGCACTGCAGCCAGGGGGCTGACACAGTGTTCCTTCCTCATTTGCTCACTTCTGTTGGATTGAGACTGAGTAAGTTGAGTGTGTCTAGCTAAGTAGATCTATAGGTTATATGATCTATTGTAGTTTTAAACAAATGATTCCTCCCAAGCAATCAAGTGGGCTTACAAAAATTTCTTGTAAAGAGATGGCAAATAATACCTGTAATCCATACCAGGTTAAGTGGTTGCTACTTCCTCCCTCCTGACACATGCTCATCACCCATGGTACAGAGCTGATGGGAAGGCAGCCCTAAACATAAAACATTAAACAAAACCAAACTCTTTGAAGCACCCCCACCTCTATCATCATTGGTTTGCTCTGGGAGCACCTTGAGATAGTCTCAATAACAGCATGAACCTCCCTGGTTGACAAGGCATTTAAAACCTTAGCTTTCAGGGCATGAAGACAACCCCCCACAGTTTTTTCCCCGTGATGTTTAAAGTGATATGCTGTTCTACCTAGTACTTTTTGATATTTCCCTAAGCAATGATAAATATTTGGAAGGCTCTTTTAAAGTTTCTTGTGTAATAGCACAAGACGAAAAACACCTACCACCAGGCAAACATTTGTTCTTTCTGCTGCAGTAAAAATGGCAGAAACAATGAACAGAAAATGATCTGTCGAAAAACCGAAAGGCATTTCTTTGTCAGCAAATACCTTTGGAAGATGTAGAGAAAATATTGCTGTAGATTGAAGAAAAAGTGTTAGAGCAAATTACCCAGTGTGGGAGGTTTGCTATAGTCAGTTGGCTGAAAGTACAGATGTTTTTACACATCTCAGCTTAAGGTATTTGCTGGATTCTGTTCCAATAATGAAATACACAAACCACTTTGTGTGTGTGTGTGAGCCACTAAAGGAAAGATGTGGCAGGGAAGATATATTTCCAACAGTTCATACTTTGTTTAATAAAAAACACTGTCATGTGGGGAAAACAGTGCAAGTGCACCCACTGATGGAACTGCTAGTGGGAAGAATTTTTTCCCAACAAAACTTTCACTTATTTATTCCTGAGCCTCATAGAAAGCTAGTGAGGAAACTAGCAAACATCAGGAGCCATGCATTCCATCTCTCCCATGAGCTGTTCAGACAGCAGTGATGGTCTCACTATTGTGATTTCGTTGGTTGATGTGTAGGTGACCTTCAGTTCAGTTCAGTTCAGTTCAGTAGCTCAGTCGTGTCCGACTCTTTGCGACCCCATGAACTGCAGCACGCCAGGCCTCCCCGTCCATCACCAACCCCTGGAGTTCACCCAAACCTATGTCCATTGAGTTGGTGATGCCATCCAACCATCTCATCCTCTGTCGTCCCCTTCTCCTCCTGCCCTCAATCTCTTCCAGCATCAGGGTCTTCTCAAATGAGTCAGGCCTTAACACAGTATAAATGTGTGCATTTCCTGTGTGAGGCTTCTTGTAGACCCAGCTTGGTTCTCCTCCAATGTCTTCTCTCGGAGGTGTACCTGATTTTATTGCCAGGTTTCATTTGAATCCAGTGAGGAATGGGACAACTCTGCTTTTGTATCTTGACCCAGAATCGCTTGAGACTGAAAGTCTTGTGAGAAGATGTGGTGAGGTGCAAATTCAACCACACACAGGATGGCAGAGAAAAGAGTTGGGAAGGATTTAAAGAAAAAAAAACAAAACGATTCTGGATGATAAAAGCTGTGGAGGCAGCAGAACCTGCAAAGCCCATCTCTGGTCAAACCATTGCAAGAAAGAACTAGAAGCCTCACGAGCACATAAAATACAATAGGAGCCATCCATGGTGTTCATTTTCTAAAACCAAGATTGTCCAAGTAAGGGAGAAGCTTCATGATAGATTCTTGGTAATGGGATTGAGTGTGACGTTGAGAATATTCCAGATTAACTCCACAGAATGAGACATCTTTATGGCAAGTTATTGAAGGGAGCTGGCATGAGTCCTTCTGCCCTCTTTCTTCCTCCCTTTCCTTCTTAAAGGTCAATGTGTGGATATTTCTCTAGGTGACAAGCATGTTGACAAAAATAATCTATAAACAATCCATAATGTTAATAGGAATTGTAAGGAGTTTTATTTGAGCCAAACAGAGGACTATAACCTGGAAGACAGCCTGCTGTCTGGAGGAAACTGGAAGAAACTGCTCCAGAGAGACATGGATTTCAGCATGGTTTCAGAACAAAGAAATAAAACAAGTCATGGATACATTCCTTCAAGGTTTAAAAAAAAATCAGATCAGCACATAAAGAGAGTCAGTATGGCCTTGGCAGCTGGGAAGGGAGTCCCAGGATTGGACCAAGATTGATGTCCCAGAAAGGGAGGAATTTTTAATTTTTTTTAACCTGGACATTCTTTATGCCTACTCAATGTGCCCTTTTCTTAAGAATTAAATTAGATGTACAAAGTATGTTTGATAGGCCAAAAATCAAGTTAACTCATGTAAGCCAGAATGAGTTCCCCATACCTGGTATGTAAAAATTTATTTTATCAGCAACTATCAGTCTTAAGCAGTTAAAAAAAAGCTTGAAAAAAATAAGCATACTTTCTCTGCATCTACCCTTCATGGTAAAGATTTTAGAACTGATGCTTGAAAATCTGTCTGTGGACGTGATTTTGTGCCAACACTTGGACCTATACACTTTTTAAAAGCTTGGAAACAGAAACTGTTTTCGTAAGTTAGGTTTCATTTATGTACCATAAAATTCACCTTTTTCAAGTGTACTATTCTGTAGTTTTTCTTAGAATATTCAAAGTTGTGTGACCATCACCACGAATTCCAGAATAATCTGTTTTTCAAACCTGTGGTTTGAAAATGAAGAGTTCCCTTGGGAGTTGAACCCATTTATGAAACATAAACAAGCAGCTCTTTCCCTTTGGTTTGTTGGACCAGCTAACTGACAACAGAGAAGGATGAACCACACAAGCTGCATTGTAACAAAATGCCTTTGCGCAGTTGGTGGGTGGAGTGTAAAAACCAGTCCAGTGATTTAGTAAGGCCCTCCTTCCATTCAGCTCCATAGTTTGTGACGGTCACTAAAAACCAGAGTTGAAGCAAACTGTCCTGAGAGCCTGGCCTTCAGATTGATGTTTTACAGTGTGAAATCAAAATTTTAGTAAATAAGGAAGCATATTCAGTCATATTAACATTTCTAGTGAGAGAAAAATGCTTTCCCTGCAACTTTTTAAAAGTACAAAGAAATTTGTAGTTTTGTAAAATGTATTGGAAAATATGGCTGTCTTCAATCCTATAAAACTCTTTGGAATGTGTCTGTGGGGTGGGTTATATGACTCAGACAGTAAAGAATTTGCCTGCAATGCAAGAGACCAGGGTTCAAACCCTGGGTAGGGAAGATCCCCTGGAGCAGGAAATGGCAACCAACTCCAGTTTTCTTGACTGGAGAGAGGAGTCTGGCAGGCTCCACTCTCACTTTCACTAACACTTTCTCTTTCACGTACTCAGTGATTTTATATGGGAGGGGGTGCTCCTGAATATTTTCAGACAGAGGTCAGAAATGTTAGGAGTCTGTACTTCCTCTCCAGTTTCCCAGCTCCCACCTCCACCCCCACAACAGAAAAAGAACCAGAATAGAGTCTTCTCTCCTCAGTAGCCAGAATATTTTCTAGTCTTCCGGTCCTGTTATGTCCCTGCTCACAGCCTTCCTCCCACACTCTGGATGAAATTCCAGCTCCTCCCCCATCCTCCCATTCCCTCAGCTTTGACCCTCTTTACCAGCCCGGGTCCCCAACTAGGTCCCCCTGCCCTGCACCCGGCCCTGCCCCGCTGTCCTTCTGTGTTGCCTTTGGTCTTTGCTCAATGTCAGCCCTTCATCAGCCCCTCCCTGACCTGATGTGACCATGACCCCCCTCACCCAGACACACACTCCGTGCCCTCACCTGCTAAGGGCTTTTCTTCCCACACATATCACTCCTGTATCACACTTAGAACAGTTTATTTGAGGGCTGCTGCCTCCCTCCCAGGAGTGTGGGGCCTGTGTCCCCACCCCCAGCTCCCCCGCTGCTCCTGGCATCCCCCAGCCTGGAAGGGGCACCGGGGCCACCCTCACAGCAGCTGAGGGACCTGGGACAAGTCTCCTCTCCTCTGTGTCGCTGTCCCTCTCTTTAATGGTACCACTGGGTTCCTAGGAGGGGCCGCTTAAGATTCTGTGTCCAGGGTCGCCCGGAACTCTTTGCCCCAGACATCTCCTTGGGCCCCAGATGCCCACAGGGTGGGTTCCAGGACAGGGAGCCACGCCTTCTCGGAAGCGCCCCCCTCCGAAGCCATGCCTCCAAGAAGCCACGCCTCCCGGAAACCCCTCAGTCCCAGGGTCTCCTGAAAGGCAAGATGTGGGTTCCAGCCGGGCCTGGGACCCCTGGGACCAGCCTGGTCCTCAGGTTGGGCTGTGGGCAGTGGGGGGAGTCTGGATGGCCCGAGCCCCCTTACAGGGATCCGGGGTGGCAGAACACAAGATCTCAAGCCACTGAGGTTGGGTCGGGAAAATCAGGGCCTCAGTCTCCAGGATGCTCTGGGCCACGAAAGGCTGTGAGCTGAGGCTGCTTGGTTGCTGGGAGGTGAAGCTCTGGTGGTGGGGCTGAGCCACGGGTCCTGGAGTGGCCACTAGCATAGCACTCTGGGGTGGGGACTGCGCTGGGAGATTTTGGGAAGGAGAGCGGGAAACCCCAAGACCTGGAGTTGGTGGGGGTCAGTACAAGGCGGGCGCCAGCAGCAGCAGCATCACCCCGGCCAGCAGCGCCAGCGAAGGCGGGCTGGCCGCCAGGTGCGCGGCGTCGGAGAGGTCAGAGGGGGCCGGCAGATTGCAGTCGGTGTAGGGCTCCACGCAGCCCGCAAAGGCCATGACGTGCGCCACGAAGGTCTCCTCCTGCACGCCGTGCACCAGGTGCGCCTGCGGGCCTCGCGCGAACACCGCCACGTCCTCGCCCCCGTGGGTCTCGCTAGACAGGGGCACGGCCGCCTGCTGCCGGTACGAGGGGTCCTCTGGCCAGAAGGTGGGGAGTTAATGTGACAAGGGAGGCAGCCTTCTCCTCCCCAGAGTTCCTGTGGCCAGGGTGGCCACCTCCCAGCCCCCCAACCATTACACTTACTGCTCGTGCTGTCATTAACATCGGGCCGTGAGCCCCCGCCAAGCACGTAGCCAGGGCCATTGCCATAGAGGATGGAGGTGTAGGACTTAAAGTCTGAGGCCTTGCTGGGGGCCAGACCTGCAGGGAAGAGGGGACCCCGTGATCACACTGACCCCAGCCTTTGGGGTGCCTCCTGTGTGCAGAGCCCAGCGGGTCTTGTCTGTTCAGTGACTTAATCCTCACCAGAGCAATCCAGGGCGGTTGCTGTTATTACCCCGCTTGACAGATGAGGAAACTGGCTCAGAGCGCTTTGTGCCTCGTAACTTAGGGGCGAGGATCTGCCCCTCTCCCTGGGCTTACCGAAAATGGAGGTCCCACGCAGTGTGTAGCCACCAAAAGTGAAGACATGGGAGTGGTCTGCAGTGACAAGGATCAGCGTGTCCAGTTCGCTAGTGAGCTCGTTAGCCTTGGCGATGGCATTGTCAAACATGACCGCCTCGGTCAGCGCCATATAAGCTTTGGTATCATGGTGACCGTGGTCAATGCGGCCTCCTGCAAGAAGGTCACATATAAGATACCAAACCTGCCCTGATGGCCCTTATCGCTCCTCTGTTCCCCAAGGGGCTGCCACTCACCCTCCACGAAGAGGTAGAAGCCCCGGGGGTTCCTGCTCAGCACTCGCAGGGCCACCTCTGTCATCTCCTCCAGGGTCGGGTCCTTGGTGGGGTCTTGCTGAACATTATACTTCATGTCTGCCGGCTCAAAGAGGCCTGTGGGAAAGGAGAGCAGTGGTGACCCTCAAGCTGGTGATTGGGGTGGCCCGTGGCACCCATCCCGGGGAGGACAGTGGTTGTGGGTCGGGTGGTTACCCATGAGATGTGTTACACTGGAGTCACTGGCCGCCTGAAGGAGCTCCGTGCGGTTCCACACATACTGGGCTCCCTGGGAGGGGCAGAACCAGGCTTCAGCCCATAGCCTGACACCCCAGGCCTGGCCCCGCTGTACCCCCTGCACCCATGAGCCCCCATCACCTGGTGCTTGGCCTGCCACTCCTGCACCAGATTCCGCTTATCCTTCCGGACTCCAGTCTGACTGACATCATATGGGTATTCAGGATCTGGGGTCCCCTCAGGAAACATGTACTTTCGGCCTCCACCCAGGATCACCTGGGGTCAGGATTAGGGCAGGTGGGATTGGGGCCTGGCTGGCCCTTTACTCCTCTCACACAGCCCCTACCTCCCCCATCAGGTCTGTGGGTATCGCCTGTCCCCACCTCCTACATGGTGCCACCTCACCACACATACACACACATGAAGCCATGGAGACCCCAAAGACCCCAGGGCTGGAGGTTGCCTGGGACTGTGTTCAGAGTGTGCCCCACCACTGGTGCCCAGCCCTGCCCCGTGCCCAACATGTCGCACGTCAATATCCATGTTGTTGACCAGTTGTGTGGCGATGTCCTGGCAGCCATACGTCTGTGCATCGGCAGGCAGGTCAACGTCTGAGTACCAGTCTCGATTCACAACGTGCGCATAGGCCCCGGCTGGGGAGGCGTGCTGCACCCTGGTGGTGGTCACCACTCCCACTGATTTCCCTGAGGGTGGCAGAGGTCATGGTGGGCCACTGAGGTCTCTGAACCTGTCCCTGCCCAGGAAGCTGACGCCCAAGCCCACCTGCTTTCTTGGCCCGGTTCATCACAGACGTGACCTCGTTCCCACGTGTCGTGTTGCACTGGTTGTAGCGGGCGGCTGCACTTACACCAATGGTTCTGTAGTTGCCCTTGACCCCACACAGGTAGGCGGTGGCAGTGCCTGCGCTGTCTGGCACCTGTCTGTCCACGTTGTATGTCTGGGGGCAGAGATGCCTTCAGCTCTGCTGGGGTAGACACCCAGCTCCTGACCCATGCCCTGGGCCCATCCTCAGAGCCCCTGGCCCCTAATTCAGCCCCCAACCCTCTTGGGGCTTTCCCTCCTACCCTGCTCCCTAGGCCCACACCCACCCCTCTGGTGTAGACCACCCTGAGGTCACTTGGCCCTTACCTTGGACAGAGCCACGTATGGGAACTGGTCCATGGCCAGGGGTGTCTCAGGTCCCAGCTTGTCATTCATCTGCCCCTTTAGGATCCGAGTGGCTGTCACCGTAGGCACCCCCATCCCTGAAGGTACACACTGTGTCAGGTTTGAGTCCCCGGGGCCAGCCTGGTCAGCCAGCAGCTCAGGGTTCCAAAGTGGTGGGGAAATGGGGTGGACTGGCTTAGCGCACTCACCGTCCCCCAAGAAGAGGATGACATTCTTGGCGGCTGTCTGGATGGGCTGCAGCTTCTTAGCCACATCAAGGGCCTGGGCTGCCTGGCGGTTCCAGAAGGCGGGGTCTTCCTCCTCAACTACCCAAGGGGAGAGTGGAGGTCAGGTCAGCCTGGGGCGGCCCCCTGTGAGTAGGGGCTGCCAGGAGCTGCCTGATTACCTGGGATGAAACCGAGGGAGAGCTGTAGCTGCAGGCCCAGCAGCAGCAGCAGCACGCAGGCCCCCTGCATGGTTGTGTGATGGCGGAGGGTCAGGATGGGACCTGGGGAGGCCGGGTCTCAGGCAAGGCTGGGACACTGGGTACCAGCTGCAGCGCTGGCTGCCCGGGCTTAAATCTAGATAGACTTTGTCCCTGCTGTAAAAGTCTCCGTGTCCCTCCCAGTGCCCCGGGTGGCCACACCCTGCCCCTCACCTGCCCTATGACTTTGAGCCCTGTTGCCAGGGGGACGTGGTGGGTGTGGCTGAGCCAGCAGGGGTCCTGAGAATTCAGGTCCCTCCCTCACAGGATGGTCCCCAGCAGTCTTCTCAGGGTGGTGTGGGGATTAGGGTTGCCGAAGTCTTAGGCCTGAGGAACATTTTCAAGGTCCTGACTGAGGCTCCTCCCAGCCCTCTGCTCACCAAGTCCTGTGGGAGAACCATCTCTCCTTCCTTCACGTGTTCAGTGTTTTCTGAGACTCAGCCTTGACCTGATTTGGTTCCCAGTGCTGAGGGACACAGCCTGGGCCAGGGGCCTGGGTTAGTTCCCTGGTGCCCTGAGGCAGAGTTCTATGGGGTGGCCTGTCTGCCCTGCCCCCTGCTCAGCTCTTCACCAGACTTGACCTGGGCAGGAGGTGTGGGCACTGGGCCCAGCTTCTGCTGTGGAGAAGGATGGGGCTGGAGGTGAGAGCGGAGCAGGGGCCTTGCCTGTGTCTTCAGTTACTGAAGTGCTGGGTCTGCACCGCTGTTTGTATTTGTGTGTGTGTGTGTAAGGTGCCTGAAATAGGTTGACAGGTGTGGGCCCAGTGCCCCGTAACTGAAGTTGACCTCTGCTCCATTGAACAGGTAAATGGAAGGCAGAGGTGCCTCTGTTCTCTCCACAGGCCACACGCACTCACAGGAACAGCTTCTGATAAGGAGCTAAAAGGTTTCAGTAACCCCAAGTTGGGTTCAAAATCATTCCTCCCATCCAACACTTCTGAGTGTGTATCCCCAAGAATTGAAATCACGATCTGGAAGAGGTATTTGCACACTCACATTTTAGTAGAATTACTCACAGTAGCCAAGAGGTGCAAGCTACTCAACCATCCATAGCTGACAAATGTATAAGCAAAGCATGATATAACTCTGCAATGGAATATTGTGCTTAGTTGCTCAGTCATGTTTGATGGTTTTCCACCCTATGGTCTGTAGCCTGCCAGGCTCCTCTGTCCATGGGGATTATCCAGGCAAGAATACTGGAGTGCATAGCCATTCCCTTCGCCAGGGGATGCTCCCAACCCAGGGATGGAACCCAGGTCTCCTACATTGCAGGCGGATTCTTTACCAGCTGAGCCAACAGGGAAGCCGTTTCTCTTGAGGGCCACACTAGTGGACCTCACGGGACCAGGGAGGTGACAGCCACCAGATGACTGCCTGGGCATCAGGCAGGGAGGTAGGAGGGGTGAGCACTGAGGCTCGGGAATGTCCCTCTGTTTTCAGGGGAGGTGAGAGCCTGGCTTTGGGGGAGGGGAAAACCTCAACTTGGTCCAGCTGCTGGCCTCACCTGGCCCTGCTGACTCCCTCGGGGTCCCTGAACTGCTGTCCTTCGGCCTTGCTCCTGCCCTCACCGCCTTTGATCTTTGCTCAGTGTCGGCCCCTCATCAGCCTCATTCTGACTTATTGATGTGAATCACCCACCTCCCGCCCCCTCCCCCCGCCCGCCCCATACACACAGACACACACTCTGTGCCCCCACCTAAGGGCTTTTCTTGCCACACGTATCACTCCTGTATCACACTTAGAACAGTTTATTTGAGGGCTGCTACCTCCCTCCCATGAAGGCGGGGCCTGTGTCCCCACCCCCCAGCTCCCCCGCTGCTCCTGGGATCCCCCAGCCTGGAAGGGGCACCGGGGCCCCCCTCACAGCAGCTGAGGGACCTGGGACAAGTCTCCTCTCCTCTGTGTCGCTGTCTACTCTCTCTAACGGTACCCTGGGTTCCTAGGAGGGGCTGCTGAGGGCTCTGTCCAAGGTCCGCCGCTCCTGGTTCCAGACATCTCCTTGGCCGTCTCTTTGGCCAGCGAGGAGCCCACAGGATGGGTTCCAGGAGGACCGGAAGCCACAGCTCCCCAGGAGCCACGCCTTCTCGGAAACCATGCCTCCTCAGTTTCCACGCCTCCTAAGAAGCCACGCCTCTCGGAAACCCCGGAGTCCCAGGGTCTCCTGAAAGGCGTGGTGTGGGTTCCAGCCGGGTCTGGGAACCCTGGGACCGTGCTAGCCTGGTTCTCAGGTGGGGCTGTGGGCAGTGGGGGGAGTCTGCATGGTCCGAGCCCCCTTACTGGGGTTCGGGGTGGCAGAACACAAAGTCCCAAGCCACTGAAGTTGGGGTCGGGCAGTAGGTCTACGGGTGTCACAGGGAAATCAGGGCCTCAGCCTCTGGGATGGGCTGGGCCATGAAGGGCTGTGAGCTGAGGCTCCTTCATTGCTAGAAGGTGAATCCTTCATTTCTGGGAGGTGAAGCTCTGCTAGTGGGGCCGGGTCGGGGATCCGGGAGTGGCCGCTAAGATAGGACTTCAGGGTGGGGACTCCGAGGTGGTAGCTCTGGTGGGGCTTGCTCTGGGAGATTTTGGGCAGGAGAGCGGGAAACCCCAAGACCTGGAGTTGGTGGGGGTCAGTACAAGGCGGGCGCCAGCAGCAGCAGCATCGCCCCGGCCAGCAGCGCCCGCGAAGGCGGGCTGGCCGCCAGGTGCGCGGCGTCGGAGAGGCCAGAGGGGGCCGGCAGATTGCAGTCGGTGTAGGGCTCCACGCAGCCCGCAAAGGCCATGACGTGCGCCACGAAGGTCTCCTCCTGCACGCCGTGCACCAGGTGCGCCTGCGGGCCTCGCGCGAACACCGCCACGTCCTCGCCCCCGTGGGTCTCGCTAGACAGGGGCACGGCCGCCTGCTGCCGGTACGAGGGGTCCTCTGGCCAGAAGGTGGGGAGTTAATGTGACAAGGGAGGCAGCCTTCTCCTCCCCAGAGTTCCTGTGGCCAGGGTGGCCACCTCCCAGCCCCCCAACCATTACACTTACTGCTCGTGCTGTCATTAACATCAGGCCGTGAGCCCCCGCCAAGCACGTAGCCAGGGCCATTGCCATAGAGGATGGAGGTGTAGGACTTAAAGTCTGAGGCCTTGCTGGGGGCCAGACCTGCAGGGAAGAGGGGACCCTGTGATCACACTGACCCCAGCCTTTGGGGTGCCTCCTGTGTGCAGAGCCCAGGCGGGTCTTGTCTGTTCAGTGACTTAATCCTCACCAGAGCAATCCAGGGCGGTTGCTGTTATTACCCCGCTTGACAGATGAGGAAACTGGCTCAGAGCGCTTTGTGCCTCGTAACTTAGGGGCGAGGATCTGCCACTCTCCCTGGGCTTACCGAAAATGGAGGTCCCACGCAGTGTGTAGCCACCAAAAGTGAAGACATGGGAGTGGTCTGCAGTGACAAGGATCAGCGTGTCCAGTTCGCTAGTGAGCTCGTTAGCCTTGGCGATGGCATTGTCAAACATGACCGCCTCGGTCAGCGCCATATAAGCTTTGGTATCATGGTGACCGTGGTCAATGCGGCCTCCTGCAAGAAGGTCACATATAAGATACCAAACCTGCCCTGATGGCCCTTATCGCTCCTCTGTTCCCCAAGGGGCTGCCACTCCCTCCACGAAGAGGTAGAAGCCCTGGGGGTTCCTGCTCAGCACTCGCAGGGCCGCCTCTGTCATCTCCTCCAGGGTCGGGTCCTTGGTGGGGTCTTGCTGAACATTATACTTCATGTCTGCCGGCTCAAAGAGGCCTGTGGGAAAGGAGAGCAGTGGTGACCCTCAAGCTGGTGATTGGGGTGGCCCGTGGCACCCATCCCGGGGAGGACAGTGGCTGTGGGTCGGGTCGTTACCCATGAGATGTGTTACACTGGAGTCACTGGCCGCCTGAAGGAGCTCCGTGCGGTTCCACACATACTGGGCTCCCTGGGAGGGGCAGAACCAGGCTTCAGCCCATAGCCCGACACCCCAGGCCCAGCCCTGCTGTACCCCCTGCACCCATGAGCCCCCATCACCTGGTGCTTGGCCTGCCACTCCTGCACCAGATTCCGCTTGTCCTTCCGGACTCCAGTCTGATTGACATCATATGGGTATTCAGGATCTGGGGTCCCCTCAGGAAACATGTACTTTCGGCCTCCACCCAGGATCACCTGGGACCAGAGATTAGGGCAGGTGGGATTGGGGCCTGGCTGGCCCTTTACTCCTCTCACACAGCCCATACCTCCCCCACCAGGTCGGTGGGATGGTCTGTCCCCACGTGTAACTCCTACAGGGTGCCCCTCCTCACCCCCACAAACCCATGGAGATCCTGCAATAGTCCAGGGCTGTGGGCTGCCTGGAACTGTGTTGAGAGTGTCCCATCCCCTCTGCCCAGCCCCACCCCATGCTCATCATGTCATACGTCAATATCCATGTTGTTGACCAGTTGTGTGGCGATGTCCTGGCAGCCATACGTCTGTGCATTGGCAGGCAGGTCGGCGTCTGAGTACCAGTTTCGGTTCACCGTGTGTGCATAAGCGCCAGCTGGGGAGGCATGCTGCACCCTGGAGGTGGTCACCACTCCCACTGACTTTCCTGAAGGTGGCAGAGGTCATGGTGGGCCACTGAGGTCTTTGAACCTGTCCCTGCCCAAGATGCTGACTCCCAAGCCCACCTGCTTTCTTGGCCCAGTTCATCACAGACGTGACCTCATTGCCACTTGTTGTGTTGCACTGGTTGTAGTGGGCGGCTGCACTTACACCAATGGTTTTGTAGTTGCCCTTGACCCCACACAGGTAAGCAGTGGCAGTGCCTGCGCTGTCTGGCACCTGTCTGTCCACGTTGTATGTCTGGGAGCAGAGATGCCTTCAGCTCTGCTGGGCTAGACACCCATCTCCTCACCCAGCCCCTGGGCCCATCCGTACAGCCCCTAGCCCCTATCTCAGCCCCAGGCCCTCCTGGAGCTTTCCCTTCTACCCTGCTCCCTAGGCCCACACCCACCGCTCTAGTGTAGACCTTACTTTGGACACTTGACCTTACCTTGGACAGAGCCACGTATGGGAACTGGTCCATGGCCAGGGGTGTCTCAGGTCCCGGCTTGCCATTCATCTGCCCCTTTAGGATCCGAGTGGCTGTCACCGTAGGCACCCCCATCCCTGAAGGTACACAGTATATCAGGTCCGAGTTCCCGGGGCCAGCCTTGGTCAGCTGGCAACCCAGAGTTCCAGGCCTGTGGGGGGACAGGGGGTGGACCCGCCTCATGCACTCACCATCCCCCAAGAAGAGGATGACATTCTTGGCAGCTGTCTGGATGGGCTGCAGCTTCTTAGCTACATCGAGGGCCTGGGCTGCCTGGCGGTTCCAGAAGGCGGGGTTTTCCTCCTCAACTACCCAAGGGGAGAGTGGTAGTCAGGTCATCCTGTGAGTAGGTCATCCCCTGTGAGTAGGGGGCACCAGGAGCTGCCTGATTACCTGGGATGAAACCGAGGGAGAGCTGTAGCTGCAGGCCCAGCAGCAGCAGCAGCACGCAGGCCCCCTGCATGGCTGTGTGATGGCGGAGGGTCAGGATGGGACCTGGGGAGGCTGGGTCTCGGACAAGGCTGGGACACCGGGTACCAGGTCAGTGCTAGCTGTCCGGGCTTAAATCCCTGCTATTAAAGTCTCCATGTCCCTCCCAGTTTTCCGGGTGGCCACACCCTGCCCCTCACCTGCCCTATGACTTTGAGCCCTGTTGCCAGGGGGATGTGGTGGGTGTGGCTGAGCCAGCAGGGGTCCTGAGAATTCAGGTCCCTCCCTCACAGGATGGTCCCCAGCAGTCTTCTCAGGGTGGTGTGGGGATTAGGGTTGCCGAAGTCTTAGGCCTGAGGAACATTTTCAAGGTCCTGACTGAGGCTCCTCCCAGCCCTCTGCTCACCAAGTCCTGTGGGAGAACCATCTCTCCTTCCTTCACGTGTTCAGTGTTTTCTGAGACTCAGCCTTGACCTGATTTGGTTCTCAGTGCTGAGGGACACAGCCTGGGCCAGGGGCCTGGGTTAGTTCCCTGGTGCCCTGAGGCAGAGTTCTATGGGGTGGCCTGTCTGCCCTGCCCCCTGCTCAGCTCCTCACCAGACTTGACCTGGGCAGGAGGTGTGGGCACTGGGCTAGTGGAGGCCCCTGGGAGCCTGGGCCCAGCTTCTGCTGTGGAGAAGGATGGGGCTGGAGGTGAGAGCGGAGCAGGGGCCTTGCCTGTGTCTTCTGTTCCTGAAGTGCTGGGTCTGCACCGCTGTTTGTGTTTGTGTGTGTGTGTTTAAGGTGCCTGAAATAAGTTGACAGGTGTGGGCCCAGTGCCCCGTAACTGAAGTTGACCTCTGCTCCATTGAACAGGTAAATGGAAGGCAGAGGTGCCTCTGTTCTCTCCACAGGCCACACACACTCACAGGAACAGCTTCTGATAAGGAGCTAAAAGGTTTCAGTAACCCCAAGTTGGGTTCAAAAGCATTCCTCCCATCCAACAGTCTGACTTCTGGGTGTGTATCCCCAGCAATTGAAAGAAGATCTGGAAGAGGTATTTGCACACTCACATGTTAGCAGTGTTATTCACAGTAGCCAAGAGGTGCAAGCAACTCAACCATCCAGAGCAGACGAATGGATGAACAATAACTCTACAATGGAATATTGTGCTCAGCTGCTCATTTGTGTCTCACTCTTTTCCACTTTATGGACTCTCTGTCCATAAAGTCTGTCCAGACTCCTCTGTCCATGGGGATTCTCCAGGCAAGAATACTGGAGTGGGTTGTCATGCCCTTCTCCAGGGGATCTTCTTGTCCCAGGGATCGAACCCAGGTCTCCCGCATTGCAGGTGGATTATTTACCAGCTGAGCCACCAGGGAAGCCCCAGTGGAATATTATGCTGCCTTCAAAAGCAAGGAACATTTGATACCTCTTATTACGTGGATGAACCTTGAGGACATGATGCTCAATGATGTAGTTGTGGTTGCTGTTTATTTGCTAAGTTGTATTTGACTCTTTTGGCATCCCATGGACTGTTTCCTGCCAGGTTCCTCTGTCTATGGTAATTTCCAGGGGATCTTTCTGATTCAGGAATCAATCCCATGTCTCCTGCATTGGCAGGTGGATTCTTCACTGCTGAGTCACCAGGGAAGTCTCAGTGAAGTACGCCAGTCACAAAAAGACAAATACTATGTGGTTTTACTTCATTAGGCATCCCAAGTAAGTTCTTTGGAAGAAAAGCCAAGAGAAACCTAAACAGTGTATTAAAAGGCAGAGACATTACTTTGATAACAAAGGTCCATATAGTCAAAGCTATGGTTTTTCCCATAGTCACATATGGATGTGAGAGTTGGACCATAAAGAAGGCTGGGCACTGAAGACCTGATGCTTTTGAATTGTAGTCCCTTGGACTACAAGGAGATCAAACCAGTCAATCCTAAAGGAAATAAACCCTGGATATTCATCAGAAGGACTGATGCTGAAGCTGAAACTCCAACACTTCGGCCACCTAGTCTGAAGAGCTGACTCATTAGAAAAGACCCTGATGCTGGGAAAGATGGAAGGTGGGAGGAGAAGGGGACGACAGAGGATGAGATGGCTGGATGGCATCACCGACTCAATGGACATTAGTTTGAGCAAGCTCCAGGAGAAAGTGAATGACAGGGAAGCCTGGTGTGCTATAGTCCATGGGATCACAAAGAGTCGGACAGGACTGAGCGACTGAACAACAACAAAGACATCTCAAGCAGTCAAATGATTAGAAATGGAAAGTCGGATGGTGGCTTCCAGGAGCTGAGAGGAGGTGGGAACTGAGGAGTTATTTAATGGATACAGACTTTCAGCTTTGCAAAATGACCAAGTTCTGGAGATCTGGGGCCAACCATGTGAATAGACTTAGCACCACTGAACTGTGTCTTAAGAATTTTTATGATGGCAACTTCTATGTTGTGCTTTTTTAAAATCACAATTAAGAAGTTCTTTTCAAAAGGAAAAAACCCTTCCTCCCTGCCTCACCCACCCCAGTGGACCTGGGTAGCCCCCTCCCCACTGGGGCCCCCTCATCCTGAACCACGCTGCGCTGGCCGCCTGCATCTTTCTGTCTAGCTGCCTCCCCGGGTGCCCTCCCCTCAGGCAGAGCTTCCGGGTTCCTCGTCCTTGACCTGCTGTCCCACCCGCTCACCACACTGACCCAGGTTACCCTCCAGCTCCCAGAGGGCCTGCCCGCTGGGGGGCTCCTTCCTGCCCCTGTCCCCCACCCCACAGCTGCCTCTGTCCCCCACATAGTCCTGTGCTCAGAGAATTCTTGGCTAAAGGTCAGGAGAGACTAATTCCTGGGCAGGCCCTTAATTAATTGATTGCTTCTTTTGACCAGGATGTAGGTTAAAGGTTTGTTATTCCCCTATTAGTCTTGAGTTCCCAGTCCCCCCCCCCCGCCTTTTTTTTTTAAATTTGGATGTTTGATCTAACTGTAGATTCACATGTGGTTGCAAGAAATAATACAGTGTGCTTGTATGCTTTCTTCTATTCTCTCTCATGGTACAATTCACAGACTTTCACATTTCTATTCAGAGTCTGCCATTTTACGTGTTCTTACACGGGTGTGTGGATTCTGTACATCTTATCACACGTGTGGGTTCATGTAAACACACCACAGTCAGGATACTGAGCAGCTCCAAGCCCTGGGCCCTTTTATGACCACTTCACCTTCTGACGCTAACACCTGTCCTTTTGTCCTAGAATTTTGTCACTTCAAATAAGTTACATGAATGGGATCGTACAGTATTTGGTGTTTGCCTTTTTCATTCAGCCTGATTCCCTGGAGATTCACCAGAGCTCCTTTATGCCACTGGCCAGTGTCTGAGGGTGAGTGGATTTTAGGGCATGTTTAACCATTCTCATGTGCAAGGACCTCAAGGCTGATCCAGTTTTGCCTGTTTTAATTCAAGCTGCCACAAATCTTCAACGACAGGTTTTTCTGTGAACATTTCATTTCCTTCCCTTTCTCTGGGATACATGCCCAGGAGTGGAATTGCTAGGTCATATGGTTGTGCACATGTAGTTTGGTTTTTGTTTTGTTTTTGTCTATTAAGAAATTTTTACCACTACCTCCCCCGCAAAATAAACAAAAACAGAGGAACTGCCAAACTGTTAGCAGAGTGGCCGCACAACTTTGGATTCCATCAGCAGCACCTGAGGGATACCATTTCTCTGCATCCACACCACCATCAGGTATTGTCACTGTCTTTAATTTTAGTCACAATGACAGGTGTGGAGTGCACAGTCTCTTTGAATGTTCTCCTTATGATGACATTAAGTGATCATCAGCTATGCTCCTGCTTGATTTCTTGTGAATTTTGTCCTGGGCCTGGGCAGGGCCTGAGACCAGACACAAACCACATGTCATTGCAGCAAATAAAAATGTTTGTCCAAGTTCCCACCAGGGCACCTGGCTCCCCTCTTCTGGGCCCGAGTCACCTGAGTGAGATGAGAGGCTGTTATGCTCCCTCCCCTGGGGCCCAGGGATGACCAGGCAGCAGGCAGCGTGGCTTCTGCTCTGCAGTAAGAGATAACACCTCCAGTCCTGCACTCTGGAGTCATGGATGCCTGGGGCCAGGGGATGGCCAGCGCCATGGAGCCTGCTCTGTGGGGGATGGTTATCCCGGTCTCTCTGTTCTCTGGGAAGAAGGCCTAGTCCTGTGGGGTCTCATCTGGAGCCCAGCACCTTCTACCGTTGTCCCCATTTACCACCCTGGGCTCTCTGGGTCCTGTCCCAGCCCCTAGCATGCGGCCCACTGCAGGCACTGCCAGCAGGGGGTAATGCGGAGCCCACAGCAGCACCAGGGGATCCCTGGGGGGATGTCTCCTGCCTGCGTCCTGCCCACCCAATCTCAGGATGTCCCCTGAGACGTAGTGACAGTCCTGTCACTCAGATGAGAGCAGGGCAACAGCTGGGAACAGGAAGGCTTTGATCATTGATACCCCACCCCCAGTCCCCACACTCCAGAAATTTAAAGGAATGGAAGCTCCCTTTCTAGGGCAAGTGCTCCCTGGACCCTCCTCCCCACCTTTCATCTCTGCCTCCACCAGGCCCAGAGAAATGGTATGAATGTCCCCACTGCAGCTGGGATGCAGGAAGTGAACACAAGTTTGATTTTTGCCCTCTTTTCCTGGGGGGCCACGTGGGATGTCGCTGAGCTTCCTGGGTGTCCGCCTGGTATTTAGGAGGGCACTGGGAGAGCATGGGGGCTATTCCATACGAAAGACAGCTCTGGTGCTACAAGGTGGTTTGGGCGTGGGTATATGTAACGTGTGGAAATGAAAGCCTAAGAAAGTCAAGAGCCTCTTGTAACTCAGAACCGAAACCAATTTCACTCTGATTTTGCACCGTTAAGAACGAGGATAATTTTATTCCAATAGAAGCTTGGGTAGTTTGAAAATCTATTAAGGTAAATTTATGCTAAAGGAGAGTTTTTGTTTCATGTTTCATTTTGCACTTCAGTCTCTGTTGCTTTTTCAGTGTTTGGCTGACGGCTTTCCAGAACTGAGGAAGTA